GTGAGGCTTAAGCCTCACCAAGCCTACAGGCTCCGCCGCTACTGTCTCAAACTAATAGTGTAGATAGAAGCATAAGATAAGCTACGTAACCGATTAAAAAAACAGGTGAATTTCGGTTTCTAGACGCTAGCCTTTCAGTCTTGGGAATAGAAAGAAAATCTTATTTTATTGGCTTTGCGCGCCATTCGAAATATATATTTATTTTTATTTTAACGATCACATAGTTACCATATGGTAACCATACGTGTTACAGACAGACAGACAGGCAGACAGACAGACACAGGCGAATTTCCGTTTCTAGACCCTACACTTTCAGTCTAGGGAATATATTCCGATAGGTTTTATAAATATGTTTCAGCTTTAAACATTTTGTCCAAAAATGTTTTCGAGCATGCGTTATTTGTCGGTGATAAGAAATATTCATGCAGATTATATCGTATCATGGGGTTACAGTTTTGATAGCGGTCGCATCCTACGACCATACTACTATGGTTATGAAACGGGTCAATTGGTTTTTGTGTCATGTAATGCTAATGACACCAATTTTATTGGTTAAAATGTTGTGATTGTTCTTGTAACGATTGATCGTGCGACTGATGACAAATATGTCAAAGATTCTCTTTTGGATTGTGATACAAAGGATCAGTGTATTGTGGTATCACGCCAAATGTTGGCATATTTTGGCTTTGTAGAATATTTTGGTTTTCATGCTCCCATCGAAATGCAGCATATTGACCCGAAGGACTTCGAACTTATGCGACTATTGGATTAGTTATAATTCTTTTTGTTTATTTCTTTGTTCAAAGTTATGTGGTTGCTTTGATTTATAGACTTCTTTGCATGTTAGACAGATATGAGTGAGGCTCGAAATCGCGATACTAGTGACTCTATCTCACCATATTATGACTTGAGACTTATTATTGCAGCAGCCAAAGAGCAGGTAGTTTCATTGAGATCAAAAATTATTTGGTTTATTCAAACTTAAATGAAAATTTTTTGGTAACACATTGAAGAGACCAATTTACAAGCTATCTGATGAGTCCTTCCAACAAGGATGAAACCGATCATGGCAGCTCTAACTCACTCGCAAGATATTTGATAGTAGCGTACTGCCAATCCTGACACACTCATGACGACACTGATCGTGTCTTTGTGTATTTTCGATTACTTTTATTAGGGTATGTCTGCGTTCAGTATAAATCTAGTAAATTAAAAAAAACCTTCTTCTATTACGCTGTTTCCGTTTCGCCAGGAAAGCAATAATGCACATCACTGTACTTATCGCGTGCAAATATATACAAAAATTTTAACGGCTCTGTACCCGTGTTGTAATAGAAATGTTCAGTATGTGCAGGTATCCATACTGATGTGCCAGGACTAACATCTGTTTCCACGCCGTCCACGGAAATGATTCCTTTTCCACTTAAAAAGTAGTACCTAAATGAACAAAAATGGTTAAATTCGTAAAGAATTCTAAATGAAAAGAAAAACAACTTACACTTCCTCTGCATCGGTCGTGTAACCTCGTTTCGGACGTGGAGCTTCGATCGGCGCTTCTGCAATACCCATGGTGATTCCCGTTGTTGGCGTTATATCACCATTAATGAGTGCCCACCAACGGAAATACCCGGCAAGCGAATGGTTCGATTCCTCGGTCTCACAATCCTTGATACGCCGAAAGATTGGCTTAGGTTTGTGCTCATTCATGACAGGCAGTAGACTGTTGTTAGCGAATGTTTCGACGGATATCTAACCTTTTTCGCAATGAAAACAGTCAAGCCAAAAAAAGGTTTGCTTCATCGCTAGCTTATCTGCAGTCGCAGAACACATAATAAAGATGAGATATGCGATGAAGAGGCAACGGAGGACGCAAGAGAAACTACAATTGAGGGAGCAATAGAGGTGCACAAGAAACATCTTTGGTTCGATAACAGACATTAAAATGTGCGACAGAAAGCGTAGAATTTAATCGGTTTTGGATGTTTCAAAACAAGCTTTTGAATGTAAAAACCTCTTCATTATGCTCACGAAATAAGAATAGATCACAAAATTCATGTTTTTCATCAAAATAGTTCAAGAAACACTGTCTTCTAGAGTTCTGCGTTGGGTTGAAATCAACTGCAAATAAAAACTTTGCATCAAGATGAAATGCTTGTTTGAAACATGGGTTTCCAAATGATATAATTTACCTGGAGCAAGATAATTACTCCATAGAATCAAAGACAGAAAACATTGAGATCGGGTGGAGGGTGTGGGTGTGGGTGTGGGAAAAGAGTACATCGAAACTCACACAAACAACTACACCGCACCCCCTCCCCCCATACCTCACACCCACACCCTAGTTGTGCACTAACGATAGATACGCCGTCAATACCATTATTCGCGAAACCCCTGATCGATCGGGCAAATACATAACGTTTGTCGACTTTGAAGCCACATCTTTTGATGGGCGCGGGAAAGACATCGGCAATCACTTTCGGTCTTGTATGTTCGATGTGACAGCGTCTACCTTCTTGTCTGGATACGACTACCCATCGGAAGGAATGCGCTCGGAATTCATTCGCATGTATCTAGATGAGAGTCAAAAACTTGTCACGGACCGAGAATGGGATCCTGATGGTTTAGATTCAGTAGAGCATGTTATACACGAGGCTGCATTTTTCGCCATGGTTCATGCCTTTTTTATGTTTAGTGTTGGATTAAAACCATTTCACCTCTCAACTAATTCGTTCGGCCCGACTGACGGTATATCTAAACTGTATAGTGTTTCAAGGCACTGTATGAAATTCATTGGCGAACGCATTGAACTTTTTGAGAGACGATTTGCATATCTTTTTAGTGGCGAATGAAGTAAATAAAATGATTAAGCTTTGTTGGCATAAGCGCTGAATAAGTAACTGTGAGAATAACATTACGCGTGCAGCAATTTTGAAACGCCGGCTAGCGTATAAGCTGCATGACATCAAACTATTTGTTTATGTGTATTTAACCAGTATGCTTATCATTGATATGTTATCAATCGTGTAGCATTTGCCTACATGTTTTACATATGCTTCAAAGCTGTTTATCACATGCTTAGCTTTATGTTGATCATTGAATTTCTGTCACTTAGTTGATTGACGTTCACATTTCAAGTTTAGATGTAAATTTTATAACCGTTCACTATGGAAACACTCGACATCGACAAAGCTTATGCGCTAAACATTGCGCGTCAATACTTGCGATCTCAATGGTGTGAACTACAAGAACATGAAATTTATGTCTCGGTTTTAAGGTAATAAAAAAGGTTCTTCATAACTTGTTTTAATCTTGCATTAATTTTTAGCGGTGGTTACTCGTCACGACTCTACCTGGTCGAAGACACAACTGAAATACAAAAACGTGAAGTCAAAAAGTTTCTCATTCGCTTGTTGGGCGGAAAGGCATGGAATAAAGAAAACCAGGATAACTTCCGCGTCCTAGATAGGGCGACGCAGTTTTTAATTTACTACAAGTATGGCGAGCTAGGCTATGGACCGAAAATGTACGGTTCGTTTGATGGAGGTTGGATCGAAGAGTACATATCGAGTCGGCTGATGGGAGGCGCTGATTTCTTTGACAAGAAATTGCAACAACAGATAGCACATAAACTTGCTCTTTTTCACCACATGCAAATTCCAATGACAAACAGCCGTCTTGAATGGGTTAACGTTGCGAACGAGCGTTTTGAGAAGTCTGATACTGATGCCTCTCGTGTGTATCATCGCGAAATAGCGCAAAAGGGCGACTTTGGGGATATTGAACAGTTACTCAAATGGCCATGGCATGAAACATATGCCTGGTTACAGAAAACGCGCTTGCTAATCCATTCACCAGATGTATTGTGTACCAATGACAGAAACGCGAGCAACACGCTGATACGCGAGCAGCCAGATAAACTAGGAGAATACATCACACTTATCGACTTTGAGGCTGCCTCGCTCAGTGAGCGTGGAAAAGATATAGGGATGCACTTTTGGTGTTACATGTTTGACGTGACCTCGTCTACGTTCTTGTCTGAATGCGATTATCCATCGGAAGAAATACGCTCGGACTTTATTCGCATGTATCTAAACGAGAGTCAAAAACTTATTACCGACCGAGAATGGGATCCTGAAGGTTTAGATTCAGTTGAACATGTTTTGCATGAGGCCGAATTTTTCGCAATAGTTGGTGCCTATTACATGGCCAGCTTTGCATTTGAACCATCGTTGTGTCCTTCAACTAATCCATTTATCACGCCCGATGTTATGATAAGAGGATATAATGTTGCAAGCCATTCTATTAAGTTCATCAAGGAACGCATTGAACTTTTTGAGGAAAGATTTGCTTATCTGTTTGGTGACGAATTAACGAAATAAAATTGAATGCAAACAAAGCTTTGTGTGTTTGTGAGTTGATAATGTATCTTTAAAGGTATCTATGTGCAAACTTTGATATCCAAACGCCAGCTAAGTAATTCGCGTCATCTTAAACTACGTTCATTAGTTTTACTCGTATTATTTAAAATCGCGTTAAGATTCAATGGAAAAACTTGACATTGACAAAACTTATGCTTTAAAGGTTGTGCGACAGTATTTACGCGCACAATGGCTCGAACTGCAAGAGGAAGACATTAAAGTTTCAATTTTGAGATAAATTACATCCTGCGAATAGACATAGTCTCACAAATGATTTAAATTTAGCGGTGGGTACTCATCGCCCCTCTATGTGGTGGAGGACAGAAGTGACGCCAACGGTAATGTGAAAGAGTTCCTCCTTCGGTTGTTCTGCGGTAAAGGATTGAAGAAAGAAAATGAGAATAAATTCTTTGTTCTGGATCGTGCAACGCAGTTTTTAATTTATTACAAGTATGGCGATTTGGGCTATGGATCGAAAATGTACGGATCGTTCAACGGTGGACGAGTAGAAGAGTACATTTCGAGCCGACCGATGTCAGGCGTTGATTCGTTTGACAAAAATTTGCAGCTACAGTTCGCACACAAACTTGCGCTTTCCAATCACATGCAGGTGCCTATGACGAGCAAGCGTCTCAATTGGGTTAAAGTAGCAATGGAGCGTCTGGACTCTTTCAATACAATAGTACCATCGGGAAATGGCGCAAATGTGCAAGTTTACCGAAATTGAACATTTACTCAAGTGGCAGTGGCGCGCAACAGGTGGCTGGTTAGAAAAAACCCATACGTTCATCAAGTCACCAGATGTGTTGTGCACTAACGACAGAAACGCTGCCAACACCATTGTCTGGAAAATGCCTGACCAGCTAGGCGAATACGCTACGTCGGTAGACTTTGAAGCCGCTTCTCTTGACGGGCGCGGAAAAGATATTGGTAATCACTTTTGGTCTTACATGTTTGACGTCAACTTACCAACGTTCTTATCTGGATTCAAATGTATTTGAGTGAGAGTCAAAAACTTGTCAAGGACCGACAATGGGATCCGAACGGTATAGATTCAGTCGAGCATGTTTTACATGAAGCTGCATGTTTCGCCATGGTTACTGCTTACTTTATGATTAGTTTCGGATTAGAACCATTTCGTTTGTTAACCAATTCCTTTGGTTCGGCCGATGGTATATCTAAACTGTATAGTGTTGCAATGCACTGTATGAAATTCATTGGCAAACGAATTGAACTTTTTGAGAAACTATTTGCATATCTATTTAGCAGCAAATAGAATAAATGAAATCATTAGCAAACAAAGCTTATGAGTTTGTTGATTTCGAAACGCCAGCTAGCGTATAAGCTGCACATGACATCAAACTATTGGTGATGTGTATTTAACAAGTATTCTTATCAATCATGCTGCATTTGCCTACAGATTTTGCATGAAATTTTCAAACCAATAAGGCACAAGCTTTTCGATGGAGAAACTTGATATTGACAAATCATACGCTTTGAAGAGTGAGGGTGAGGGTGAGTGGAGCTACCATAATGTTAACATTCCACCTCAGCCAAGAGGACCATCAAGCTGGCAAACAATCTAAATGATTTTGAAAAATTTTAAGTTTAAAGTATTGGTTTAGTTTTCACCTGTTTTTGCCAATAATGTCAAGTTAGTTTTTGTTTGCATATGAATGATAAGGATCGTTATTAGCTGAGGTCGTGTGTTACGAATGGTCGTTCTGTATCAATAAATGATATGTAGTGAGTGTTGAACATGTATATAGAGAGGAGAATACGTGGTCAGGTATAGATAATATATCGATTGTTTATAGAGGTTTTGTGCCGTTAGAATTCGTTGGTTGTTTGATGGGTTGTATAAGTGGAGACGATAAATGTTTGTTTATATCTTGAATGAAAGGAAAAAATGGAAATGACAGTTTAAATGAAAGTTAGATGTACAATGAGAGGAGATTAAATGATGAGTAGGTTATTGAACAAGAAGACGAACAAGAAATTAAACTTAACAAGTTTTTGGTTAGAATGAATGAGGAATTAGTATATTATTTCAATAGATCATATTGATATTTTTGTGATGACTGTTGATCTACATCTTTTTGGTTACTGTTGCCACGATTGTTTTCATGATAATTATCATTCTTATTATGATCATCATCATCATCGTCATCATCATTGTTATGAGGAAATAGCTGATTAAAGTGATCTTCGAATTCAAGACGTTGTATTAATACTTTTTGACGACTTTCAATAATATTCATTAGTAGATCTATGTTTAATTTTAAGTAATTAAATGATAATATATTCTTTTCTTTTTCATCTTTCTTCTTTAGAGCAAGGAACATTTGTTTTTGAAGTTCGATTTGATGTCCGTAATTGACATTTTGAAATATATTTTGTTGATTATTTAAAATAGTTTTCTTTGCGTTTTGTTCAGCGATTGTTGCTTGCCAAATATCTTCGACTATTTGTAACTAGAATGACAGTAATAGCGAATTGAAAATTGAAATCTGATATATAGATGAACGATTATAAAATAGAAGAGAAAACAATTACCTGTTGACTATCTGGTTGTAAATAATAAAATTCATGCAGTAAACAAATATCTTTCACATTTAACATAAATAAATGTCGTTTCTTGATAAGTTTAAGATTCAATCGTTGTAGATCTTCTCGTACAAATATAAGAATCGACGATGTTATTAGTTTTATATCAACTGTGGATGACGATGATGATGATAGTTGTTGTTGATCTGAGATAGATTTGGCTAATTCTTCTGTTATAATTCCGAATTCTTTTTCACTATTCTTCACATGTTTGTTGATATATTTTTGAATTTGAAAAAGTTAATATAACTTTGGTATAATACAAGTTCCATTTTTAATGAAGAATATGTCACCAGTAAAGAAGCATGTTGTCGAATAAATAATAAAAGTGTTCGATCTATTTCTAACCATTGATTAACTTTAATTCGAAGAAAGAAATCGTAAATGATTGTCTTGAGTAATCGTTCTTTAATTTCATTATCAGGTAGATTTTCATAGTTCAATCGTTGTGTTTCTTCCTCCTCTTCGTGTTGTTTCGCGATTTCATCATTCAATTTTCTTTCCTGTTTTCTTGCAATGATTTTGAAAAATATCATGATGAATGATTGAATATCAAATAGCAATATAATCTTACTTAATCAATAGATAATGATGATAATAATGTCATCTTTTCTTCTTGATCTGATTTATTTTCATTTATTTACTCCGTGTCTATGTGTATAAATCGAAGAATCTATCAATGATCTAAAAGGAGAAAAGAAAAAAAAACAAGAAATATGAGCATATTTATATTGAAGTATAGTAAAGTGAAAAATGGTTGTAACAGAAAAAAAAATAAAGAAATCTATATAATTCAAATGCAAAGAAAAATAGGAACGAAAGAAAATTATACATAATATATCCTTCGTCATTTTGTTCTACTTAATATAGCCATTGCTATTGGCATTGTTGTTTTCGTTGCCGTAAATGATATTTCGATTGTTGTTGATAATGTTCTTGAATTCTTGATTGAAGAAATGGATATGTACTTTCATCTATGAACATATCTTTCTTCACCATATTGAATTCAATGAAAAAATTTCCCATTATCTTTTGAATCATATATAAGGAAACATCATTGAGAAGAAATGATAATTCAATATATAATCGTTCATTCTCAAATTCACGTACATTCGAACAGTAGAGAATAGCACGAATGAGAGCAGCACGCAATAATAATAATATAGGAGGAAAAGATAATTAGAATATGTGAGTTTTGTTTGATTAAGAAAAGTGAGAAGTTTATCTTTTGAGTCATTCCAAATGAAAAAGATGTCATTGTGACATCGACCAAAAACTCTGCTTCTTTTTGAACCCAATCGGCAAAGTAAATCATATTGCCAATAAAATAAATAAATATGGATTAAGGTTGTGATCAATGGTGAATCAATTGAACTACCAAGAATCTATTGATACAATTTATGTTCATAGAGACAATATTGATTTTTAAGAAAAAGTTCGATGAGTTGAATTATAGTTGTAGTCAATATACCATCAATTTGTTGTTTATCATATTTAGAGTAACGAAAAAAATGTTGTAATGCTTTTTATGTTACGAATACTTGCTAGTCATCTAGTCGTTTCTAGAAAAATTTTAATTTATAACTTTTTAAAGTCGAACATGGCCAGAACTTTTACAAAAAATTCATACCGAAATTTGACTGCAAAGAATTCAATAGAAGCGATCGGATTCTGACCATGCAACATTGACTGCCTTGTCATTTGTAAATACATTACTCAAAATAGATGTAAAGAAAAGAAACGCCTAGTCATTGTTCGTGTTTCAAGATCATAATGACGTGTTGTTATCTCTGAGAATATAAAGCGCAAATTTACACACACTTTTTACTCTAGTGAAAATGACAACAAGTAAACTACTATTCTTCTTCGTCTTCGCCTTGTATCTTTTAGCTCACGCATCAAGCTCCAACCGTTTCAATAAAGATTCTTCGAGAGGTAAGTACCTAATATGTTTTTTTTATTTAGCATTACCTCTCGTTCCGATCACATGAGCAAACTCGTGAACAACTATAAATCAATAAATTTTAACTTACAAGTAACGTTCATCAGTTCTAGATTTACTTTTTTTCATCTACATCCAGAATACCCAAAGAGTGCAGGCATCATTTGACTCAGTATATTAAGTGGAAATATACGATCATAATATTTAAACCTTATGAGCGAATCAACTCTAGAGCATATCCTTGACCATTATGAGTTATTTTGAAAAAAAAACTTTTCCATCACTCTGGACGAATCTTTGATAATTGACTGGAGTTTTTTTTATTACTTTTCGCTAATGAAGTAAATATCGATGACAGATGCTATAAGCAACGATTACGAAAGACTTCACAAGAAAATGGAACTATAGGAAAGTACAGCCTTTTTTTGAGGTGAATTCATTTGATTCCACATAGAAACATTAAAAATTTTTAGTTTTCATTTCGCATGCTATTTGTCTTACGCAATATCGCATTCAATAGAACTTAGAAAAGTTCATATACTTATATAGTCTGCATATGTTTTTTTTTAAATCAGATTTTAGTTGAAAAAAATTCGTTACAGTAGTTTCAGAAGAAGAGATCTGGATAGAAGATTAGTTTGATTTCGTTTTATGATTGTGTAATTGAATAATTGTGTCCGAAATAATGGAGAATAATAAGGTAATATCAGCCAGAAGACGATATTATAATCTTATTCCGATGTATACTTTCTTATCATTTATCTTTTGTGCTATTTTTATTCAAACTGAAAAAGATATCATCAAGTAAGAGAACGATATATCTGTAGAAAAATTCAACAGAATTTGCTTCAATGAAATAAGTTGTTTAAGGCTTAAAGCGATCAACAATCAATCGTGTAGATTATTAATCTTTCTTTTTTAGCTATATTGGATGCACGAACAACATGGAAACCTAATGGAAATACGGTAGCTGGTACGAATATTCCGGGTAGTGCTCTTAACCAACTAAATTCATCATATGGAGTGTTTGTTGATTCAAATAATGCTCTCTTTGTTACTGACTTTTTTAATAATCGAGTGGTCAAATGGGAGCTAGGTGCAACGAGTGGTATCCTTTACGCAGAAGGCCAATGTGGATCAGGTAATCAAAATCAATTGTGCAATCCTACTGCCATTACAATCAATCGAGAGGGTACTTTATTTGTCACTGTCGAGAATGCCTCTAGCGGAAGCGTGATCAGTTTCAAGAAAGGAGCTACCTCAGGTGAAACATTCATTACAGGCAATACTTCATTTTATGGCATCGTTTGGGATGAAAAAGAAGAGTATCTCTATCTCGGACATCATCGTGAACATCGCGTCGTCAAATACACGAAGGATGGAAGATTCGTGAGCGTCGTTGCTGGTGGTAAGGACCGAGGAGCGGCTCTCAATCAACTTGACTATCGTAAGTATATACTCTGAATGATATATAGACTGCTGCTTAGACCTAATTTAATTTTAGCTAGAGGTGTTGCAGTTGATGAGGATGGATCAGTTTATGTGGCAGATTCCAACAATCATCGCATAGTGAAATGGATGGTGAATGCAGCCGAAGGAAGTATTGTTGCAGGTGGCAATGGAAACGGTAGTCGAACAGATCAAATCAGTTTACCAGGTGGTATTATTCGAGATAAAAATGGAACAATCTATGTAGCGGATGAACATAATCATCGCATTGTGAGTGTGCCTATAGGTGCAAGAAATGTTACTATTATTGCAGGTGGACGTGGTCAGGGTAATAGTTCGAACCAACTTAGTAATCCTATTAATATAGCATTCAACAACGAAGGAGACTTATATGTCAGTGATTGGAACAATTTTCGAGTTCAAATGTTTGTAAGAGAAACGGGTCCATCCAGTGGTAGTGACAGTAGCTATATTTACACTCTTTCAAGCAAATGGACACAGATTGTTTGCTTCCTATCATTGATGATTTCAACTGCTCGTTTTTTCACATAAAACCGTGGCATTGTAACTTACAGCAACGTTTGCGACGCAATATGAAATTGGATAATGAAACTGTTCTCTTTGACTAATATTTTCATACTTTTGTGAAACATGATTGAACATTAGTGTTGGAATAAATAGCAAAAAAAAACAGCAAACTATTCTCGATCACTCAGATTGTAACAGATATTTCGACATGCTGTTTTAGTTTTTAGGAGTATGATATTATGAAATTATAAACTTTGAGCAATCATGTTGTCGTTTTCCTCATCAAAAATATTTTGCATTTGAACACCTCTTCGTGCTGCATTTTCAGGAGTTGCTTCGGATATTGCATCGTCATGTAATTTCCAAGCGAGAGATCAATGTTTCTATCTTGTAGGTGGGTGTGGGGCGTGATAGTAGGTGTGTGGCGTAGATGTGGGATGTGGTTGTGGGAGAAAAATTAGTTTTCATCTCATCCTTTCATTCCAATTGCCGGTAAGGTAGTCTATGTACGACTTTCAGACATGAGGAAAAAAACAGGGTGTTCGGGGCGGAGTTCGTAAATGAAATACAACAAAAAAATAGGACGTCCGGAATGAAGTATGTCCAGAGGTTTGGAATGAATTCTGACAATAGTTTTTCAAAGGTTGGACAGCGAAATTTGACTGCAGGTTGTAGGTGTGGTGTGTGGTGTGTGGCATGTGGGTGTCGGTGTGAGTATGGATTTGCATAGTGATGAAGACGATTCACATCCACACCTACATCTTAAATTCTTCTACGAATTCTCCGTCGATGTCATTTGGTTCCTCCAATCTTCTTCGGTAAAGGTCACCTTAGACTTACATTTCGAACACCTGACCTTGTTCATTACGATCTTTCGGCGTAGTATCAGTTTTGACAAGAGCATTCTATTCCGAACATTCAGTCGAGCTATCCCGATTTTCTTGCTTTTTCATTATGGTCTCTTGTACAAAGTTGTTTACGAACTACCGTCATAATTATTTTTTCGATTAAGGTCAGTTCTGAACACCCGGTCACATGTCCATAGTTCGTGGGAATCAGACCAGAGCTAATTCATCTGGAGTGAATGTGACTGTTGTTGTGCTATAAGAGAACATCAATATCAACATCCACACCCACAGCCTCCCTATTACATTTGTGAAGATTTTTCTTGTTTTGAGATTTTGCCCGAACTCCTTCACGTTTTTGATGGATGATGTTTTCGAATGTTCGTGAATTGAAACGAACAGGGACGCAGTCATGAAATCTCCTGTGAAAAAAAGATTTTCCGTGAGGATACGCAGGAAAACAGTTTAGCGTGAGCGAAAACGTTTTTCTTCATAATGAGGTTTTCTCCTGAGAAAATTCTTGGATATGTGCTCGACAATGAACGAATATCTTCGAATTTCTCATGTGCAAAAGTTTTGTTGGACGAAGATCAAATAAAAAGAAATCGAGCGTAATTAACAGATATTGCGTTTTGTCGAAACTCTCTGGATAATAGTGTTAAAAAAAGATAAGAGGATGTGATTGATCGTTGATTGAAAAATGAAACTTGTCAAATAGAAATGAACTTTATCTAACTCTTTTTCTTCATATTAAAACATGAATTGCATAAGAATTTATTGATCGTTATATTTTCTCATTTTCAATTAACGAAGTTTCGTTCAGATAGAAAACAAGTGTCATTAATGGATAAGATTAATAGGATTTCGTACAAACTGATTTGACAACAGTCGATAATACTAACAACTGTTTGATTAGCTAAAGAAATGGTCGATCACTCGGAGATTAAGACGATCTGTCGGAAGAAATTGATCGAAAAGAGATTTATGGAAGCAATCTTTTAGCACATAAATTAAGGGGGCCCCCTCCCTCAAAAATCGATCTCAGCTCCGGGACATCGAGATAGCATGAAACTTTGGGGATATGTTGGAGGTGTAAAAGTACGTCTATGGTAAAATTTTCAGCCTCCTATCCTGATGTATAAAGTAGATACGAACCAAACAAGGGTTGAAAAATAGCTTATCGCATCACCAAAAATTCTCTATAGGTGTTCATTCAATTTGGTTCATTGTGTTTTCGTATGAAAGAACATGTCAGGGTGCAGTGCCTATGAGGGCCCTTTTTTTTTATTCTTATCTTTATGAAGGAAAACAGGCTTCACAAGTTCAATCACTCAAAAATCTCTCAAAAAAATGGCGCTTATATTATAAAGTCGCTTTTCAATATAATAATAAGAAAGCTTTATCAAAAAAAGGGCCCTCATAGGCACTGCATTCTGACATGCTCTTTCAAACGAAAAAAAATATTTGACTTTATATCGCATTATAGTTGACTTTTCGTGGTGATGCGTCGCTCGACTACCACTTTGAGAAAAAAAGAAAACAATTTTTGGATTTTTTCAAAAACCGCTGGTTTTTCGAATAGGGGTTGTCAGAAATCTTGAAAGTTTTTCGGAAAAAAGGAGGTACCGAAGAAAACTTTTTATTGTTTATGAAAGAGCAAATGACAGGCTATCTCCCCATGTATTTATCTCAATCCTGACCATTCTGACGAAAACTAACTTTTTTGAGGGAGGGGGCCCCCTTAAGTGAGAAAAAGTCACTATCTGTAGTATTGTTTGCAGTGCAAGAAGAAAAAACAGATCACTTTTCTAATTTATTGGTAATTGGATCATAGACGTGAATATTGTTTGGAGATGTCAATAATATGATCATACATAACGGAAAAACAATGAGAATAGGAAAATCTTTTACTTCTTTGTGTCTATTTTTTGGGAAATAAGTGCTCCAATTGTCCAAGAATATCAATCTGTTCGCTGTCAGTGGTCTCGCCAAGAATAGCGAATGCTTGTTTAATGGCACCTTCAGGGTCGTCATCTACATACGATACTCGGCACGCACCCAATCTTTCCCAAATTGATCCCGATCCTTGCCACGTTGAGCTATACTGTTGTGGATTCGTGCCTTTATCGGCATAATAAAATGCTCGATAGGCGATCCCATGAACACTTACATAACTTCCACCGGGATAGTTAAGATCGTTTCTCCAAACAGGTGGACACCATTTTGGATCATCTTCGGGCGCATCAGACGTCTTCTCACAGATTCCTTCCCAGTTGTCAATATCCGAATGATAGGTAGTGGGCCGATGTCGAGCGAAGCATTCGACGGCAGCTTTGTCACAGAGGCATGTGTCGCGATCGCATGTATTTGGTAGATCGTTACACTGAATCTGACCATAATTCTGATCAAAGTCATACCATCGCCAAAACGGTTGGCAACCAGCAGTACGACGCTCAGCAAAGTCCCAACAGAGGTCGTGGATTTGACAACAACGATCTGTCTCATCAACAACAAGGCGACCACGATGACCGGCACCACACCTATGAATAAGACATAATCTCTTTTAAATTGATCCATTTTTGGAGAATGAAAATTTCTAAAAAAACTTCTTTTAACTAACAAAGTTTCTAGTTTTTGCAATTTGTCTTCGAATTCTCATTTGGAAAAACCATCTGACCTGACTTTTGTTTAAAACCAATTGAATGAACTCTCGAGATCCGTCGAAATATACCGATACGATCTATCAGAAGAATGGAATTAGTCATTTTCATGGGTTCATCCATACAAAAGAACTCATGATGATAATTCCGCATCTACTTTTTTTCAAATCTGTAGTCTAAGATCTTTTTCAAACAATTTCAGATTAAATTAGACTGAAGAAGAAAAACTCGAATGTTTTCAGACATTGATTGCAAAGAAAGAATAAATGCAAGTTGTAAGACAAAAAAACAAAATTGTCTCACCAACAACCATAGCCATTGTATCCAAGGGGATTGCCTGCTGCACCCATGATCAAATAACCGAATTGTAGGACGTTCCGATTCTGAATAGTGTTTTTTTTGTCGAATACCAGTCAGTGGTCCACCAGCGATCATAGCTGCAAGCAAACTACTGGCCAGAACGAACAGATAAATAGATTGCATATTTGAATAAACGAACAATGAAAATTTGAATAGCAAATCATGCAAGAGGTGTGAACTTTAAATATTATTTCGAGTATGTTTTCATTACTATTTCAGCTTAGTTTCATGTTACTGATTTCATTCCGCGAATAACAGTGATAGATGAGTATCGACCTTCAATCAGGCTTAGTTTCATCTTTCCAATTACGTTCTGCGAATAAGGACCCAATAATGCGATATACTAGCAAATGATCAATCCGGTCTTGTATCAAACTGTAGCTCATGTTACTACTTTCATTCCGCGAAGAAAAATGCTAGGATGCATCGATCGAATCGGAATCAGCGGTTGCCACATTTTATCCAATTTCTTTCCTCGATCTGGTTCGCAAGCTTTTCAGATTTTTGCATTTTTTAAGATAAACCTATTAAAGTAAGAGTTATCTCGACTCAGGTATCAGTTAAAGATGTGAACAAGAAAGCGAATGCACTATCAGAGGAAGCATATTTCACTCATGTTTATTCTTCTCTGTTGTTTTCGTTCCGTATGGAAACGACATTAGTGTCAGTCAGATCATCAACCATTCCTTTCTTATTGTCTTTAACGTCAACAATGAGCTGTTTCAGCCAGAAATCAATCTGGCGAACGTTCTTGACAATCACTTACCCTTTCCAATCGATTGTATTTTCAATGCGTATAACACTTTTTAAATGAAAAGCAATTTGAAATATCCGTACTCCGAACATCATATAGATAGATCTCAATGTTAAATAAATGGTGAATGTCACTGATCGGAATTTTTCTATCAATTGTTTGATTCAGAAATCGAATCGTTGACTTAAACAGAAAGTTGTCGAAATAATGAGAGAATTGATGATCTCATTATTGGTTAAGGTAGACGGTCAAGACTCAAGCCAAAACTATTGAGCCTCACCGCCAAATGTAACCTTGCCAGTTAGACTTCGTCATGAACTTCCATCCTCATTCTCGAAATTAAAAAAATTAATATACAGACCCTTTTTAAGTTCTAGCCGCTGATACAAAATTAGTGCCTCATTTTGTTTTCACATCCGGAACCTTATTTTTTCGAGCATCCGACACAGGTAGACAGGTTAGCCTTCCACCCTAAAAATTCAAATTATTTCACTATCACAAATGCTGTTTATAAAGAAGATAGTATCATGTTGATCGTATGGAAATTAGTACCCGTTCATACTCAGATAAGTAAGATTGGACAGACAACTCTATTTGAATATTGATTTCTTCCTTATTTTATCCGAAGAGAGTTGTCAGAGCGAATATGATCATAAGTGAGTGAATTGATAAAGAGCCAAATGACGAACAAGACAACTATTTATTTGGTTAGAGCTATCATACCTTTGATTTCATGAAGTGAAATGATTCAATCAGTCACTGAGGGTATGGGTGTTACTATCGTCATTGGCACCCACACCCTAGCATCTATCGGATAAAACCTTCTAATTTGATCAAGTTTTGATCGTCTCTGAAGCTGAACATCAAAATGACAATTCGAGCGAACAATATTAAATTTCGATACTTAAGCGAACCTGAAATTGACGCGTCAAAACATCTATTTAATTGTCGCTTAGAATAATGTTTTCGAAATCAACTAATATAATATCACAGAACAATAAAAGTTTTAAAACAACACAACATATGAGTTGTAACGATGAAACCAGTGACATCTATTGTAGTGATGAGCAAGAACTGTTTTTATCAAAAATAATGTTTCACACATTAGTATAATCTTCAAAGTATTTATTTAAACAGACTTCATATGTTTGAACAATTCCAAAAAAAGAAAGAAGTTCTCGAAGAAGATGGTTGGTTGACATTTTTGTCGAATTATTCAAACGTACATGATTCAGTCTTCTGCTTTTATTTTCAACATGATGAGTGCATCTCAATTTCGTCTAGCTACAGTTAACATTCATTCCTTTTGTGATTCTAATTGG